ACAGAGACTACACTCAACCAGGCCCTGAGCATTTTGTTGAGAAAGCTCACCTAAGACATACATATGTATATACACACACACTAGTATTTTATGCATTTTTTTAGGCAAGAATCACCAAAATATTGAACTGGAAGATACAGCAGTTGTAGAACATACTTTGGATCACAGCCATAGGAATGCTACTGCTGTAAATTCCCCTACTCTAAATAAACATTAAATAAACCATACAGCTATTTCATTATCATCTGCAAACTGAGATGCACAAAAACTATGACAATTAAACCCATGTGTATGCTCAGTATAGTCTGGCACTACATTTTTGTTCATTATAGGAATTCAATGTTTACAACTTACATTCTTTCCCAGACTTCCTTTCCCCCCTCCCCCACCCCGAATTGAAGATAAAACTCACATGGTCTTACCATAACATAATTTAGACTGTTGAGGGCAGCAGGACTGCTCCTTTAGGAGGCACACCCTGCAGCTACAGCATGGAGTGAGCAGGCTTACAGAGAGCAGACCACGCACCTTGTTGGGCAGAAGCTAGCAGCCTGGTTGTTCTTGTGTTTTCAGCCCAGAATATGAAGAGCTTGTGGCTTTCTAGCCTCACTTTTTTCAAACAACAATGCACGTTCTCAACTCCTGACCAGGCACGTTAAAAGCAAAAAGAAAGTGACTAATGAGGGGGATATGTTTGTCCAAAACGCATTTCCAAGTAATTCTGAAACTGCACCTTTAGGGCACTACCTTAATTTGTAAAAGTAGGACCAGCCCCTGACCAGGTTCCAGAGAACAAAACTATGTGGTTGCAATGGTAGATAAGAAGGCAGAGCAGACCTGGAGGAGAGGGAGATCAAATATTGCAGCAGGCATATTGAGCATGTGAGGCTTAAAAATGAGCTCAGACATCTCTGGTTAAACTCCAGCCCATGTTTGTGTAGTCATTGGTGCTCCAGCACAGTCAGATGGAGAAATACCAGTGGAAAAACAGTGGTACAGAAGGCCGATGGGCATGTTATCAGGATGCAGTTGAATGCGAGTGCTCGGACATCTGACAAGAAGAGCACTGTGCTCCTCTCCCTCTCCAAGGGAAAAAATGAGCCCAAGCAGCAGTTCCTTAAACATGCCATACAGGGGAGAACTGGTTTAGTGCGTCCAGGGTGAGTTTCCATGTCAGTGACAAAAACTGAATCAATTGCAGATACCAAAGTAGGCACAGACACCAATAGCTAATCCAGTGAGCACCATGCCAGCTTTTGGCTCTCTCTAGCTTCCGGTCTGTGCCAAATCACACGATCAATACAGCAGGCAACTCCTGCCACAGGACAACCTGTGATGCGCTGATCACAGCCTCCATTTCCTGTTCCCCCGTGCTGTTTGTGGGGAGGAGGTAGAGAAATTGGGAATGAAGTTGAGCCCAGGAAGAAGGGAGGAGCTGGGGGAAGGTGTTTTAAGATTTCACTTTATTTGTCATTATCCTGCTGATTTTGATAGGTAATAAAAGAACTTCCCCCAGCTGAGTCTGTTTTGCCTGTGACAGTAATTGATGATGATCTTCCCCTGTCCTTATCTCATCTCATGAGCCTTTTGTTATATTTTCTCTCCCCTGTGCAGCTGAGGGGAGCAACAGAGCAGCTTGGTGGGCACCTGGCATCCAGCCAGGGTCAACCTACCACACTCACCTCTCCCACCCAACAGTAAAACAAATCCAAAAGGAATAATTAACTTTAACACAAGACTTACCCTGTATACTAGAGAAATTTCAGAAGGCATAACGTAACTGTTCATATTATCAGATCTGCTGCTTCGAAATAATAAATTACAGCAAAACCTCAGTGTGCACTGTAGGCTGCTGAGGAACCACTGCATTTGTCAGCATGCAATTAGACAAAATAAAAGGTAACAGCTTCTAAAGGCAGTATGTCATAATTTCCTACGCCTTGCAGGTACAGACAAACACACATGCTGGTGACATGGATTGATTTACTGAGTTATTGCAAAATACAATACTTTGCAATCAAAACAGAGCAAGTCTATACAAAAACTATTAAATACATGGTAATATCTGTGTCCTCTTATGATAACAAAGTAAAAAATATTACAGTTTTAACAGCTGGAACATCAGATGATGATCTTCACAGAAGAGTAACAAAAGCATTGGTTGAAATCACACTCCAAATATTTATTTAGATGTGGTGTATGATCTATGCAACAACTTTAGTACTGGAATCCAGTACTCAAGGCTAGCTATGGTTCACTGTATACCTGCATTTTAAAACTTCCCATTTTTATTTCATCCACTACTTAAAGTTCTTGCCACTACCCTCTGCTTATATTTTGCTGCCCCAAATTAGCCTTCCTTCAATGACTGACATCACTGATGGACAGCCTCTGGAAGGCCAATTCAGATCTCTCCATAGCAGCAGGGGAGATCCCTAGAGGACAGAGGAAGGAAAGAATATCAGAAGCAGGAAAGTAGAAATGAGAGGCAGTGACAGGACAAGTAGTTAAAAACAGGACAGTGCATCCGTGACTGTTACAAAATACTGTTCAAGCAGCAGAATTCACACATGGATGCTTGTTGCTAAACAGCTCAGTGATTTGTCATTGTAGGTGTTACACACATGCAGAAATCAGCAATAGCACAGCAAATAGTAAAATTCGGATCACTAATTTCACAGCAGTGATCAAAAGCACCTTTCCAATGCCTGCCAGTGCAAAGCTCAGGGCCAAAGATGATGGGGCTGAAAATACAGTTATCAGTCAGTGGAGGACTTGTGAGAACACATGAATTCCAGCCAGAATTGCTGACAGAATATACAAAGTGCCATTTTCCAAGCAGCACTTGAATAGTTTACTTGTTTCCTCTCACTGTGGCCATGCCTCTTTTAAAGTAGTAAAAAAACCCTTAACAAAACAAAACAACCACCAAACAAAAAACCCAAACAACCACAAAAAATACAAGTAAAAATACATTACGCGAAATATCTTAAAGATGTTGTCAAACAACATTTCTTCCAGGCCAATCTGTTGTAATAGCATACAGAAGTCAGCTGCCAACAAGGCAACGCTTTGTATTTGCCTTTCCAATATTTTTAGGGTGCAATTCAGCAGTGTGAGCACCAGGTCTGCATTTACAAAATGTGTGCTTGTCCCCACAGGCAAGTAGATACTGTACTTCACAACCTGCTTACACATGTAAGCAGTGTATACAATACATAGCTGGTATGTATACACGTTGCAAGTACAGAACAGGCTCTCACCTTTGAAAACCACAGTATATGAGTATCTAAACCATTAGGTTTCCAATCTCTTGCTTTGGCATTGACGAAATAGAAAATTTACAGTGTCATTCTTCAGTCTTACACAGAATAAGTTATTAACCATAAAAACAAAAACGTAGTAAGTCTGAGTATCTGTAGAAACCTACAAATACATTCATCAATATGTAGTACATTATGAATGAGGAGACAATACAGAGAATTGTTATAGGATGAATGAAAAACAAGTAGATGTAGGGAAGCCTGAAAGTTGTCTTAACATCTTTTCTCATGTAACACTTAATGTCTCAGTAGCAATGATGACATACCAGCTTCTACTATGTTACTTCCCAAGTTGTACACTTCATGTTTGATTGAAAAAGGGGGGTGGGAAATGAAGAACCTCCGAGGGATTCAGCAGCAACACTTAAGTGCATTGAAAACATTGATAATCTGTGGCACATAGGAATTAAGGGATTATATATGAGACTTTCTTCTGTTTACAGTATCCCACAGTTGTATCAAGTCTCTGCTGCATTATTTTAGTACTTAGCCTGTCACAAATCAGAGTAACATTCTTCCCAGAAAAAGCAAATTGCATTTGCTCATGAAGACTGACTACTGGGTATTACTTACCCTTGCTTAAGCTATATATCCCTCTGAACCCCACGAATAAAAAATTCTAATTGGCATAAAAACTTTTTGATAACTTAATACTTGAACTGATTGCTCTTGATTGTTTACTTTTTGACCTAATGATCAAGTTCAGTGCTGGAGAATTATCCACTTTGTCAGAATTGATGCATCTAAAAAAACCCAAAGCAAAACAAAAAACCAACCAACCAAAACCATACACATACAAAACCAAAACCTGCTGCAAGAAAGAGTGACTTTGCTGTTGGGTATCTGGCTGTATGATAGGAAATAGCAAAGCAATGGGGTATATCACAATAATACCATTCTGCCTCTCAGACACCAAAGACTGTGGCAAGCCTTCACTAATAATTATGGAAGTAGTAAGCAACTCAACTTCAGCAAAAAACTGCCTTATCACCAGGCTCAGCAGGGCATTAGAGCCTTCAAAGCAGCTTCTGTTATCAGTCTGAAGACACTGGGATTTCTGGTTCCAACTGAGGCAGAGGCAAATGAGAGAGGAGTGGGAAGGAACATCGTACACAATCTGACACCGCTGAAAAAATGACGTATTTGCACTTATGAATGCAAAACACACTACAGTAAAGGAGGAAAAGCAACTAAATTACATGACAACTGTCTCAGCAGGCAGAAGGCACGACCCTCCATGTTGCAACAAGTTTTCATGTAAGTATTTTAAAAACTCAAAAGAAACCGAGTATGTAACAATTAAGCAGAAGGACAACACAAAACAGAAGAAATGTGTTTGAAGGTCAATCTCACGTCCTTTCCAAGAAACCTGGACACATGTCTTTGTTGGTAAAACCCTGCCACCAGGTCTAAAGAGCCTTTATATAAAAGCAAGCATGGATACAAGTATGTAAATTCTAAACACTTACTAACCATTGTTTATAAAAGTTTAGTTGTGAGACTGAGGGACAGAGATGCTTTTTAGTCAAAAGATTGCATACTCTTCTAGAAAACAACAAAAACAGAGTAAAACAAAACAAAACAAATCCAACCAACTATGCCAACTGATTATCAGTTAACTAACCTTTGTGTTTAGGTCCTCAACTGAGACATAAAAAATGCACTTGAAACATCTGAACATAAAACCGGGTGTACCTGCTATGTCAAAATTGTTTTTCTTTCCAGCACATGCTCCATTAACTTCTGGTGCCACATGCTGAAGAAACTAGATTTAAACCAGTGAATGGCAAGTGTCAGCAGGCAACGATACACCAGTGGCTCCATCTTGATCATCCTTTTCTTCAACGCCTCCCTTTTTTAACTTTTAAATTTAAAAATCAATCTTCCATTTGGAAATTCAGCGCCAGGTCTGATTTTCTTTGTCACCTCTGGTTACACTGTAGGGTATCTTCAGAGAGCATTCTTACTTCTTGCTGATTCCATTTGTTACTTTTGATTTGGAGTGCCTATTCCTCCTCCTAGATGAATGGTTTTCACTATTGACTGCATGTTTTGGTGGACTATTGTCAGCACCTGCTGAGAAATAAGTAACTTGTTACATATGTACATATATTTGACATTGTCAAGCTCTTATTTAAAAGACAATAAGGCTTTCTAGAGCTACAATGTTTCAGTATGAATTATTTCAGGTTAATACAAACTGGTTGGTACTTGTACTCCATCTAGTGGCCTATTTTGTTTTAAAAAAAGCAACTCAAGACTTCTGTAAAATCCTCCCTCCTCCAAAAACTTCCCAGTTTGCTATAGCAGAATATAGTGGTGAAACATCTCCATTTTAAATGACATCTGTAATTAAACCAGCCACATTTTTATTATTGGCAGGTACTACTATCAGAAACCAAGAACTATGGAAGAAAGGTAACACATCCTTGGAGGAATACATTTCTTGCTTTCATTTTTTCATGTGACAGCCCATGTTTGACTTGGAGAAAGCAAACAGAGACAATGGGGACTGAAACAAGAATTCAAGAGCAAAAGATGAAAGGGGCTGAAGTTTGTAATTAATGAAGTGACAAAATGACAAAGATTTGTTTGGCCAGATTTCTCCAGCATATATAAATGGGAAAACATTATAAGTGCAAGCAACTTTTCTCCAAAACATAAACATCCACAAATTTACTAAACTGAGAATATTAAGGTCAGCATCCAGAAACACTATATATATATATCTATGTATGAAATATAAAGAACCTCTGCTGTAGGTGCTGTTCAAGCATATGAGAAATAAGAAATCTTTTTAATGAGATAAACCTCTGGAATATAAACTGTGACAGAGTTAACTTTCAGGTGTGAATCTCAATAATTGTTCAATAAGCAAAACCACAGTGAAGAACTGGCAGGGAAAGCAGGTAACTTAACCTGCATAGGACCTCTAGTGTAGGGAAAAGAAGTCACAGGAGGCAGCTGCCCTTGCTTAGGACAAATAAAGCTGCTTATGACCATCAGTACTGCATTTACTAGGCAAGTGTCAGTAAGAATACAAGCTCCAGAGCACATTCCTGATTGTTTCTTAACAAAGCAGGAAGAAAAGCACAATTCACATTCAGATGTTTCAAATCAAACATGCAATGCTCAGATAGAAAACCTGTCTGCAACACTGATGAAATGCATAATGGCCTAAAACTACAAGAATGGCCTGGAGAAACAGCAGAGAAAAACCCAGTTTGTTCATTAAAAAGTGAATACACTTCCCAGAGTTAGAAGAAAAAAGGTAGTAAAGCCAAACAGCTTTGCAGATTATTTATCTGTATAGCTTCTTTAGGGATGATTAATTAAGTCCAGTTGTCTCCAAGGCAAATTTCTCTAGACTCATTTCCCAGTGCTAAGCCTTAATGCTACCACTTCAAGAACATAGGTGTGTAAGTGCCAATACCTCTACTGAATTTAGAATGAAGCCAGGAAGCATCTGGACTGTATGGGCTGTCTTCACTTTCTGATAAAGTCTGCAAAAACAAGAAGGACACATGTCATTGGGATGCTGGCTCTTGTGATCATTTGCTATTAGATGTGCACACTGAAACTGTGACAGAAATCCTCACAAAACACTCAGCCAGTACTTAGGACTTTGGCTATCTATGTTAAAAGGTATATAATTGGTGGCACAGTAAGAATTCACCACTTGCCACGTGAACTGTTGTGTAACCAAGTATTCTTAATATTCCTCTAGCATTCCACCTGTACAATGGGAACATTAGCTAACCATTCATCCCTGAACGCTTTGCTAGAATTACAGCCTCATTTTGAGTAACTAAGAGGACAGCATTCTTTAGAAACCACAGTGTAATTTGGGATCTGTCCAATGCCTGCTGAATTCAGAGTTCCTTCTGTTGACTTCAGTTAAGACTCTGGACCATCCCCTCCCCCTCCCCCCCATTTATATTAGCTCTGGTAAAGAATTCTAATATCTAGGGGATTTGTAGCTTTAACTCTGATATAAAACAAAAACAGGGTTCCTAATAAAGTACCTTTTCTCGATGGCCATAGTATTCTGCATACCAAACCATACCATATAAACACAGGAAAGTTGTAAAGGCCTAAACAAGGGAGGAAAAGAAAAAGAAATATTAATCTGTAAAACTTTTTCCAAATTCCTTGCTGGTTAAAGGTCTCTAGAATTCCTGGAGATTCCGCACTCAGAGACTTTTCTGCTCTATTTCCCTCTGCTTCTTTTGTCGGGATATGCAAGACTTGTGCTTCGACTTCCAAGGCACATGTAGATTCTGCCATCACTGGGTAGGCAGATCAATTCTCCATGGGACCATGAGAACACATACACATCACCCACATACATGCAGGACACACTTATGATTGTTGTCCTCACCCAGTACAATCATCACAAAAAGGCAGCTGGTAGGTGCTTGTAGGTATATTCTCAAGAACAACCAGTCTGGGAGAAAAAGAGTTCTCCTTCTCCCTGCCCCATGCTTCAGGCAGGTTTACATGTTTGCTTTTGTGGTGCTCTGACCTGGGAAACAATTCAATACCTTTTGTCTCTGAAGTCTCAGAAATAAAATCATCATGCTAAATAAAAGAGCAATATATTCTGACTTCCTATCACCTGTTCAAACTATGTTCCCCACTAGAAGGGAGAAGTATTTATCTGTCAGCTCACTATAAATGCCTTATTTTTTGCTCACCATTAAAAATGTCTTTGGCATCGGAGTTAGAAGTTTGGCAAGACAAACATCCATTTACTGTAATAAAATGGGCAGCTCATGCTGCATTTGCAGTAATCATACTGAAGTGCAGCCCTGGGACAGGCTGCCCAGAGAGGTTGTGGAGTCTCTTTTGCTGGAGACATTCAAAACCCGCCTGGACACGTTTCTGTGTGACGTGCTCTGGGTGATCCTGCTCTGGCAGGGGGGTTGGACTAGATGATCTTTCGAGGTCCCTTCCAACCCCTAAGATTCTGTGATTCTGTGAAGTACAGAAAGTTGCAGGCTGAGCAAGAATTATTTGCCTGATAAAGCAGAGCTGTTTGTGTAGCTGTAAAGCTTCAGTGTGAAACAATATGCATCACTTATTAATTCTATTCATTAACTCCTGTTCCTTTCCAGTAGGCACTATAGGAAGCACCTTCAAAGTTAGCTTCAATTGAACTGACATTTTCTCTCCTAAAGGCAAAAATCCCTATAACTAGGTGTTTGTTTTGTTGTTAAGCACTGGTAAAGAGGCTATATTCTGCTACATCAAGAAATTAGAAACAAAAAAAAGCAATTCTAGTCTTCTCAAAATGTGCTTTAAAAGATCTTGCATTTGCTCTTCCTAGGACATGCACAAAGCCCTTTACCATAATTCCCCCACAAGGACCCCCTGCTGTCAATGTTCCAGAGAGGAAGTTATTCAGATGCCTTCAATGCGTTTGTCATGCTTTATGTTTCACATGAGAAATCTCACTTACCACACAGAGAAGCCAAAACACAACATATAGTATTTGTGTTTTGGAAAAGAGATCCTGTCCAAACTTTATGCACACAATAGCTTCAAGGAAAGCAATAACTCTGTGGGTAAATGAAAGAGAGGGGGAGAGGGGTGAAAAGCAGTTACAAACACTAAGGATTTAACTCACATGTTCAAAACCCAGAGCCCAGAGTGCCAGCTCTGAAGAAACTGCACTCACTAGTGAGCACACACCTCCCCACCACCACCATTAGCTGCAATTCTTGGGGAACTTTATTTTTCTTCCATACTTGCCTTCAGCATAAACAGCGTCCAAAAAGTGATCAACTGGCAGTTCACAATTCTATGAGCCTCTGCTCATTGGGGGAACAAGCAACAGTGTGTGTCAATAGCACAGAATTTTTCTTTATACCTACCACTGTGCTTCAGCCCTCACCAGATATAAATTTATTTTCCATGCTGAACAACAAATAGACTCCCTGCTGGGTGAACTAGAACTGTGCTTTGGGTATTTCTCCACTGGATGTAAATTTACTACAATTCTAAATAGACTATTTTGTTTCCTTAGATGGATTTTAATAAGAAAATTGACATGAGATAGTATTTAATATTCTCTGAAAATCTACACATTTTCTCTGCTTTATGTGTGAACTCAGGTCCACACTACAGTATTAGAGGATTTGTAGACAAATGTGAGAGGAAAAATTGCAGTATTTAGTTTCCTTTCTGGCATTACAAGAATCAAAATAAGTATCTCTAGCTCTCTACCCACTATCAGATGTTTACATCTGTTCAAGGTAAAAGCTATGTAGGCTTGCCTAGCACTTGGTGTGGAACAAGGGGTTATGGATCCAAGGCTTCCATCAACTGCCATGAAAATACATTTAGTTTGTGCAGGTCCTGCACATAAAATCACATCTTTTTGACAAATGTAAGTGTAGAAATGTGACCAGTGCAGCAACAGTGTAGAAAATTGATCTTTGTCAAGGTAATGCAAGTAATAAAGAAAACTGTTACACTTATAAAAGTTTGATACTTAACTTGTTCAATAGTGATTTCAAGGTTGTGCATGAGCACATGCATGAACACTCCTCCTCAAATGTGTGCACACTCAATTAACACCACATCAAATGCTCCAGTCTCCCAAGCTAGACACTGCAGGACACATTTCCTAGCAGCACTCTCCACAACCACAGAGCTGCCAAAACCAACTTTACTGCCTGGCAGACAGGACCCAACTCCCTCCATGAAAGAGGGAAGAAGGATGTGTGCCTGGCTTAACCACTGGCATAGCAGAGATGGCCCTGGTGCAAATAATAAATTACAGCTTTCTCTGTACCATCTAGTGTGACTTGCAGCATGATGAGTGGGGCCAAAACTTGTGGAAGCAACACCTCACTGACCAATACTGCAAATTAATGAGCTGCATACTAGTAAAAAGTAGGCAGCAGTATTACACTGTTACAAACTATTTTTCTTTCTTGGTTTTATATTACTCTTACTGATACAGCTGCATATTAAAAAATAGTTAAACTGAACTACAGCAGTGGGAACAGAAAGACCACCATCAGGAAAGAAAGATATGGGGGTATGATATACTTGAAGATATAAACAGAACAATAGGCCATTTTCAACAAGGACTCAAAAAGTTATACAGCTGGTTGCACTGCTTTATACATTCGTTCCATTATCCTTGTCAAGAATACTTGGGTTATGGACATTGTGCAATAAGACAGTTATGACAGTTAAAGTGGTAAATCAAAAGGTAGGAGAAAGCTAACAGTGAAAGGTGTTAGTGCCCTGCTGAAGGGTGATGAGAATACTAAAGACTAAAGATGAGAAAACTAAAGACACAGTTTTTACTAAATCAAAATAGTCTTGTAAAATCCTAACAGATATTCTTTTTGGAAAAGCTTCATCTTAATGAAAAGGGTGCAGTTTCCAACTGTTGCTCTGCCCTTATTCATGCCTTACAACACTTACATCTGTTGAAAGTGATGCTACAATATGCATCAAGTAACAGAGGGCAGAGTTTCATGCTAACTAAAGGCACTAATTTAATTATTCCCATGATTAGGCTGTTGCAAATTCAATTTGTGCCTTTAGAAGTGTATTGTGATCAGCACAGACATGAATATTCTATATACTTGCTTTTAATTGCTTTAGAACTTACATTCTGGATAGTTAAATTACTGGAAGAGTGCTGCTTTTGCAGCAAACACTCCTGGTGTTGCTCTGCTTTTCTAGCACATTACAGAAGCAAGCAGTATCAAGCAGAATACTTAATCCATGCACATTTCCCACAATTAGATCAGACTGTAGATTAATATTCTATTGCACTCCTTGTTATGTAATCATAAAGAGATATTTGGACATCTATTTAGTGATACATTACATTAGTATGTTCAGTGACAGCTTTGAACCAAGGATTATGGTTTCTGCCATTATGGTTTTCTTAACAATTTTTCAGAGCCAGAAGGCAAACACTCAGCATCATACTTCCCCTTAGTTTGCAAAAGAATATGTTCACATTCTTTCTCTCAGAAGAAACAAAAGTTCCTATTTCTTTCTTCATAATGCAGAACTTGAAATTTCTTCCCCCAGAATTATGAAATGGCTTGAAGTGTGTCTTCTAGAAAACTATAAAATTACCATCTATACTTGAGAAAATTTCCTTTTTTCATATAAACATCTTCATTCCTAAATAATTTAAATACAGATTTCAGTAACATGTCTGTATTCAAATATGTATCTCCAAATTATTAAGTTGATCTGTAACTACTAATATGCTTATGCACAAACAGAGCAAGGTTATTTGATTCTAACTGTACATTAAGCAGTCAACTGTGTGATTAATTAGTTATCCTCAGTACTCCAGCACCATGAATACCAAACTTAGAAAGACAGGTTACTCTGCCATGGTCATTATAAAAAAATCCAATGCCTTTTTAAAGACTGTGTAGGTTACAGACTCTTTAGGAACCATAATGTGTGTTTCAGAGAGGACAATCCTGACTATGGAGGCTTAAGCTTACAGAAAATACTACCAACTCCTACTCAGTACCAGTAAAACTAAACAAGAACAGATTTACTACCTTTTGTATGTCCACTGGATGTTACGGTCATGAGTTGAAGACAGAAATAGATCCATCCAGGAAGGTGAAAGAGGTGAATATTTAAGCCCAACCAAACCCAAGGAGACATGTGTCATGTTCTCCAGGGTACATTTAAAACAAGAGTAAAAACCCCTTCAATTACATCGCAGCATGCTCTGCTGTCAACTCAAATACTGGAAAGGGATTTGCATTACAGTGGTGAAGTGCACCTGGAAACACACCTTCCAGCCCAGCACTGTTCTTAAAACTCTTAACATCCTGAGACTAACAGTAAAAACGAGTTAAGTTTGCCAGAGCACTGGCACTAAATTAGATCTGAGTATTTTATGCCTCATTGAAATGCTATTCCAATTTAAAATAGTAATAGATTCTTATATTAAACATGGAAATGGTTCAGAGAATTCTGGAAATAAGACATAGACTAATCTTGGCAAAGAGAATGAAATGGTTGTTTTAAGTTAAAAGCATTGCCATCAGAAATTAGCTTCCTTGATAGTTTTTTTAAGTATATATTTTATTCTTTTTCCTTAAGATGCAATTTAGCATCTTTTACGTTTTCCCATTAGTAAGCTTGCAAGTCATAAATCAAAAGGGACAGTAACTACTTTGCTTGTTTACAAGCAGCTTTTACAACACTACAATAGAATGTTTCAGGTCTCCAGAACACTACATTTCAGTCAAGCCATCGAGAGAAGGAAGTTTCCACCAGAGAACTCTCCTCCAAGAGACATGCTTAAAAAAATTGTAGCCAAGGTAACCGTAATTCATAGACTTATTCTTTTCTTTCTTTGAGAATAGAATAGAAAGAGCTGATAATGTCATTTATTTCACCATCTTCTGCTGTGATTTTACCAACATCAGCAATGCCCTCCTTGTTTGCTCCAACGACAGGCAAGCAGTAAGAGGCAAAAACTTTATCCTTCTCCTCTGAGAATATGGGCAGCAAGGCCAATGCCACTCTGAAGGAGCCTACCTTTATCCTGCAGTTTCTAAGTTCTTCCTTCTATTTTTCTCCTTACTCACTCCATCACTTCCCATGTTCTACCTCCAGTTCCAGAATTTCCTTTCCCCTGAACTTGTGAAAAAGACAATCTCTCCATACTAAAGCTCTCCATAAATGTTCTTCATACTAAAACCAACACAAGACAAGGGCTGGCTTCATGCAAAGCTTGCTCCTGTGCTGGACTCACACTTAACACCTCTCCAAGTGTTTCAAGAATGCAGCAAGAATACTTACCCAAAAACCCAGCACTGAGTTCCTACCCTCTTGCACTGTGTATCTGTGAGGTATGCATAGTATTGCCTGAGAAGGGAAACAAGAGAATTCTTCAGTGAAGCTGAGAGTCCCCGGAGCATCTCCATTTAGAAAATAAGCTGATGTTACAAAAGTATCTACACTAAAAATGAAGTGCTGATGGTTGAAATAATGTGCAGTCATGCTGGATGTTTACCAGATGGCTTTGATTCTAGTAGAACAGATAGATTATCACATAGATTGGATAGCTTGGAACAACACAGAAATCAATCCTGAGGGCAAGGACTGGAAAAGTACCCAAACTAGTAGGCTAACAAAACTACTTATTTTTCTCTTTCCTCTCTGCTGAATCACCAAGTCTGTCTAGACAAAGTGCAACAGCTTCAAAAGAATTAGAGAATTCCTCACTTTTTCAACAGTTTGTCTTTTTATTAACAACTGCATTTTCTTGGGAGATGTGGGTTTGAATCTTGAAACTGATTATGGCTCTTCCATATACTGTGTGAGTGCTCTAACTACTGGCATGTTTTCCTCAAGAACAGAGTGGAATTTCTCACTACTTTGATGACAATCTGGAAACCATTTGTTTATGCTTTTTATGTTTCCAAGTGTTAAAAGTTTAGAGAGAGGAATTCTAAAGTGGGACCAAAGTTCCTTTTCTCTGTCACTGACTTCCACTGACAGGTAAGGAAGACATGTGTCATTAATCCAACAACACCAGGACTATTTAAGAATGAAGACTCCTACAGGCTGGCAAGTGCCATAAAAGCACTTAAAAGCTCACCTATATAGGAGCTTATAGGATGCTTAAGGTGATTTAGTTAACTTTGAAATCACTGCACATAACTTGAGACACAAACAGCTGTATTTTAGGAATAAACCAATGCACAGCTGTCATTTAACCATCAAAAGTAGCGTTGTTTTACTCATGAGTGGAAAATTCCCTGCTTCTAACTTGAAAACTGTGCATTCCATCTACCTCCAGCTACATCACAGGAAAAAACAACAACAAAACTAAGGGGTAACAACATGAAACACTGTGCATGGAGCAGGTTAGTACTTTCTACACAACTGTTAACAGTGCCTATATCCTGCTCTGTCAGTCAGTACACAGTAATGCTTTTTTTTTTTTTTCTCATGATATGCTAATATTTCCTATAGACAAACAGAATAAGGAGCTCAGTTAGAAAAACCAACAGCTCTGTTTTTCCTCATCTACACTTTTGTGAGCACCTGTCTCATCAACTTGCACACTTTCACCTGCAGTCCTCAAGGATAACATATACAGCTAACTTGCAACATGGGCATGTGCTATACAAATAGAAGATGGAACAGACTGGTTCTGCATCCCTATGGGAACATAGATGTTTATATACATTTTACCTTATTAGTTTACTTGACAGAAAATAAACTATTGACAACTGATGATTGTTTTGCTTTTTGTGATGGCAAAAGCATGAATTTCTTGAAATGTGCTGCACTTGCTCACAAACTATATGCATTTCTTGGGTGCCCAGAAGTCACGATACCTTAAACTTAAGAAAAACACCATGGTAACAAAATTACCTCACAGTGGGTGCTGTAATGATTCCTATGAAGAGGATTCTTCCCCAACTTAAAGGATGGCTTGCTTGGAACACAAAGATATGTTTCAAAAAGAATGTGTTCAACTCAGTCAGCTTTTAAAAAAAAGGAAATAAATTAGTTAATAGCCTTCAACTTATGTAACTCCTCATGAGTTACTACAGAAAATGTGAAAAGATTAGCATGGGAAATAAAGCACAGAAGGAAAACTATTTATGCTCTATTATAGTCCTGCTGGTTGGATTGAGGATCTACACAGTCTAGGGCAAACAAGGAATATAGTAGCGAAACAAGAATTCTCCCCTAGACACCTTGATGAAGATATTGGCTCTCTTTCCAGAAATCCATTAAGGGATGAGAAACTAATACAGACTGCAGAGGTCTTTTGATAACTTTCATACCCTAAATCAGGTATGAATGACTGAGGCAAATGTGGCAGAGGAGTAGAAAAGATAATTAAAAAAAAACCCCAGAACTATCAAACACTTCCAGTTCTCCTTTTAAAGACTAAGTTAAGCAAATTAATAAAAAAGGTTTTAGAGAAGTCTGCTAGCATTTGCATGACTAAGTACCAAAGCAGTTGGGGCACATTATGGAGTCTTTCTGGATCAAGGCCAGAATTCTGAGTATTAGTGATCCATCCAACAGTCAATAGGAAATGAAAAAAACAAAATCCACCAACAAAACCAAAGAAAAAAAACCAACCAACCAAAAAAAAACCCCAACACCCACCCCCCCACACTGTTTAGCAGTTTTCAAAATTTTATCAATTGCAAAGAGCAATCTGATGGCCAGTACAGCAATCTGTAGCATTTGGGGGTTTTTCCACAGCTTCTGTAATTACACTCCTGAACTATCATGTAACTCCTGTGAACAATGCCCCGACCAAGTCTGTATTATCAATTCATTTAACCGTGTATTTCAGTGACAGACATACACACACTCTGTTAGAATATCTTCTAGCCAAACACAGCCAATAAGTAACTGATCTGATGGCAGATATGATTTCACAGAATTTGTTTCTTACCTGCCAAATGATCATGAAAAGGTAGATTCCAGCCACTCTTTGAAAGGAAGACTTAGGGTCAAACCAGCGGACATAGGTCCAGCTGGCTGGGGTGAACTGTAATACAGCTCTTTTGATTTTCCCTGTGGTTGTGTGAATGTCCCTGGAAAAAGAGAATGACTGGAGTAAATGCAAGGGGAAAGGAAAAAAAAGAAGGGAAAAAAAATAGAAAGAAAAAGCAGTAGCCAGTAGCAGTTATTGATGTCTCAGAACAATCACACTATTTTGCTGGACAGCACAGACCTTGATAGACACAACTGTGTACTAGGCATGGGTGAATTAAGAAATGTAATCTATTAAGCATTTCAGTAGGGTGCACTCTGCTATGAAAGCCCAGTCTCCTCTACTCTCAATCAGTAACTAACTACAAAACATATCTATAATTCTCTTCATAAAGGAAAGGATGGCAGCTCGCAATCCCTTGGAAAACCTAGGGGATGTTTCTTCCTGGTGTATGCTGCCACCACTCTTATCCCAAAGATTCCTTGTTCCAGAGCTCACTGATATCAGTACTTTAAGAATCTGACAGATTCATTATTCATTTATTGTATGAGTGACTGGGTCCATGGTCTGAAAATACTGCATTCACAGCATATCCCTGCTGTTCTCCTATTAGGTGGATGCAAACCTGGAGAGATGTGATACCACTATTAAAAGTTAGAAGGCTTTTAAATTCACTTTCGAAAGAGGATGTGAATAGAATTTCATCTGACAGACTGGTTCTTGCTTTTTCTTGCTTTTGACAACATGAATTCTGATGAGCAACAGCATCCAAAGGACAGGGGATCTTAAGAAACACTCAGTTTCCTTTTCTGAAGGAGCACAAGCAGGACTAGAAGTCAGTTTTCACCCTGGCCCTCTGGACAAACAGAGAGATTCAGATTTTATATTTCTGATACTTGTGTTCTTTCGGGCTACCTAGGGCCTTAGGCATCTTAGGCTACAGGAAACCTTTTAATCTTTATAATCCATGCTTACTCAGCAGAAAAAGAAAACCAAAGGGCACATGCAAAAGATTCTCATTCTATACAGCTCCTCTTCATATGAAAGGTAAAAAAAAAAATAATAATATATATATATAAAATCTACTCAGGCATTTAAAAAAAAAACCATGAGGAAAAACTATTCCACACAGACAGTAAAGACAAGTCCTGCCATAGATACTCTGCTGTTTTAACGTTGAGGGAACTCTCTGTAAACAGAGGGACCATCAGCTCTACAATGCTCATTATTGCTCCTGAATTGAAATGCAGGAAAATTGAATTGAGACCATAGGCTGGATGGTTCTCAGAACAATTAACAAATTTGTGAGTAGGAAAAGAAAGGAGCACAGAAGTTTATGTAGGGTAGGAATCTGAAAATCAAGATCTGATCTCCTTTTCCATCTCCCAAAGGAATCTGGCAATTCATTGTCCTTGATCCTGTTCCATCTTTACCATTGGTAATGTGCAGATAACCACACCTGCTACCAATTGGCCAGGAGGAAGGCAGGAGGGGCAAAATACTATGGTAGAAGCTGTACCTGGATAGCCAAGAACTGACACTTGCTAGGCCACAAGCTGTTGCCTTTTTGCATTCTAAATACTAATTTATTTTGCAATTACTCCATTTATTTTAGCAAGTCAGCAATGGGATAAGGCAATTCACAGCACAAGTACAGTCAGCCTGATTCCTCCTTTGCAATTACTAGAGCTGACAGACTGCCACACTAATACCTCATTAGGCTGAGCCCAAATCTAGTTTAAAAACATTGTATAATGAGAAAACAATTAAAATTTGTTTGTTCACTGCCTTCTTCAAAGTTTAAATTGAAAAAGCTGAAAAAACAGCTTTACTACTTTGTATTTTCATTTGGCATCGTACTTGTAACTTAGACTGCAAAGGAAAATGATATATATCATGATAAATATATAAATGATATATATAATTTTTACAAATATATGCATACAGTACCGTTACTACAAGATGTACTTTCAACATTTAAAATAAATTTACAGCATTTTTAGCACATGCAGATTGCATGCAGTTTCTATACCACATGCATTTTATATATGCAAAGAAGGTATGCTTCCCAAGGAAATAAATTTGGTATTGTAACATTAAACATAATGTTTATGAAGCTTTAACGTAGACCTACTTGAAGCTTGCCCAGTGATAGGTCCTCATCTCCAAGAAACGACAAACTACCATGCCCAACCAGATGCCACCCCCGTTACAAAGCAGGATGTCCAAAATGACTTGATCCCACCAGCATTCAGCAAAATTAGGCAGAAGGTGCATGAAGAAGAGCTACAGAATACAGCAAAAAGATACTGGGTGAGAAACAGCACAGAATGCATACAAATTCACTTTTTAAGTAGACATTCAAAAATCAGCTTGTCAGTACAGATCAAGGACATGAGCCTCAATCAGTGAAATTCAATTAACATCCTTCCATTAACTTCAGAAGGTCTAGGATAGAACCACTCAAGACAGCAGAATTTCCTTATCACCATTCTCTGTTGAGGCTACGCTGTGTGTCGTGCAACTCTTGGTCTCTCAAAGATGATACACAGGCAAATCACAGAATCTTACGGGTTGGAAAGGACCTCGAAAGACCACCTGGTCCAACTCCCCTGCCAGAGCAGGATCACCCAGAGCACATCACACAAGAACTTGTCCAGGTGGGGTTTGAAAGTCTCCAGTGAAGGAGACTCCACAACCTCCCTGGACAGCCTGTCCCAGTGCTCTGTCACTCTCACAGGAAAGAAGTTTTTTCTGATGTTTACATTTACTCCTATGCTCCAGTTTGCACTCACTGCCCCTTGTCCTATCATTGGACATCACTGAAAAAAGTCTGGCTCTGTCCTTCTTGCCTTTAACATATTTATAAACATTGATGAGGTCGCCCCTCAGTCTCCCCTTCTCAAAGATAAAGAGACCCAGCTCCCTCAGCCTTTCCTCATAAGGGAGATGTTCCCTCTCCCTTCATCATCTTTGTGGCTCTGCACTGGACTCTTTCAAGCAGTTCCCTGTCCTTCCTGAACGGAGCGACCCAGAACTGGACACAATATTCCAGATGTGGCCTCATCAAGGCAGAAGAGAGGGGGAGGAGAACCTCTCTTGACCAACTAACCACATCCTTTCTAGTGCACCCCAGGATGCCATTGGCCTTCTTGGC